GGAGAAAGCCACCCCTTACCGCTCAACACACGATGGTAAAATTTGGACTCTTGTGTATTTGCCCAATGCAACACTGGAGCAAGGATGGGAAATGTGAGGCCCCCACTCCTGAATCTTCATACCCCTTCCACCAAGACAGTAGTTTCCTGCAATTTTGAAATGGGAAAACATGAAAGCAGTGATGTAAGAGCTCTAAAATAAAAAGAAAGCCTCTAAAAACTCAGCCTCACCCATGGGACTAATGTGGCCCCACCCAAGGTATAGCCTTCAGGGCCCTCCACTGCTTTAAAGGGTTGTTCTTTTCCTCCTCTTGCCAGAATTCCATTTCTGCCCATGAACACAGCCCAAAACAGGATCCAGGCTTTCTCTTAAGCTATCCCACACAAACACTATACTTAGCAAAAGCCTTTCTTTTCAAAATAGAACCTGAAGAAATTAGGAATGGCAGTAGATTCTGAGGAAAGTTTTCTGAAAACAGAAAATCCCAAACAGCTGCTTTAAGGCTTGATTTAAACAGCCCACTTTGTAAACAATTGTCTCTTTAGGGAAGTCACACATAGCTGCAGGGAACGATTGGTGTTTTCACATATCATGAAAAGATAAAAGGTGTGTTGGGAAAAGCTGGTTTCTTCTTTATACTTAAATATCAAAATACACAAAGACTACAGCTCCAGAATCTCCATAATACAGTCAGCTGGATCTCTCCTGAAATATAGGGCCCATGTATTGGAGTTTAGGCTCGGCTGGCAACTGGCTTTTGGAGTATGACTAGGATAGTTTTTGAATTCCTCACTGTTAATTCAAACTGCACTCCTCTATTGAGTAAGTCCATTAAACTCTTGAGCAGAAGTACTTAGGACTGTAGTATCAGTTCCCTGCCTACCATCCAACAACTCCAAAATCAATAGGTTATCTTGCTTGCAATTGACTAAAATTACATGTTAGGATATAATTGGCTTAATGGATATTTTTCAGAAGAAGCAGTAAATAAACACTGGGAATTTATTTTTTGATAGAACTCCCTTAAGGAACCGTCCAATCAAAGCCTGATAAAATCATAGCAGATAAAAGGTAAGTCTCTAGTTTATTGGCATAAAAAACTGCCAAAGAAACGTACAATCATCACATTCTGCATTAATTGCATTATATGTACTGTGAATCACAGCCCTATATTGGGTTGATTAAATCTATGCCAACTTCTCTTTTTTTAGCCTGTTTTAATCTGCATGGTAATGCAGCTACTGCATTTTTCAAAAGAGTTCTGGACAGGCATATAAAGTGATCAGAGTCTAAATATAAGTCTTGGGAAAGGTGTCCTTCCACACCTTCACTGGGATGAGAAGACACATAAACCCATTCAGACAGCAAAACTAAACTATTCCACAATACAAATAAATAAAATATTGCCCCTTTCCCCTCCCCATTACCCTGGGAATAATAATATTTTATTCTTTTTCTGCTATATATAAAAAAGAGGTCTCTATACTTCAGGATTAAGCTGGTCTCTCTACTTTCCACTTCGAAATGCTTTTGTGCTGCCAAACTCCTCCATATCAAGAATTCCCTACAGCTAGAATAACTCTACACTGTGGTCTAAGACCAGTTTTACCCAGATGGGGCATATTTAAAATGCAACAGAAATATCATTAAATATAATATCCAATTTACAACAGAGAGAGGTTCCTTTAGAACAGGGTTTCTCAAACTTGGTAACTTTAAGATGCGGGGACTTCAACTCCCAGAATTCCCCAGCCAGCATGGAGTTGAAGTCCATACTAGTGAAACAAGTTCCATAAAAAGATTCCCATGGAAGGATCAATACAGAAGGATTTGTCCAACCATTTTAACAATTCCATACGGCAAACATGTTCCTTATATGGTAGACTGTTGAAAGTGCCCTCTAGCACAGCAGATGGCAAGACATCAAATTGGATCTCTAAAAAGCTTTCTAATATTTGGGCAGTGTCAAGGTTTTAAAATAACAGGCAGGCTGGATGAATTCAGAAAACATATTATGGACAGAAGTCATAGCTGTTACCCATGTTTGCTGGACTCATGAAACTATAGCCCAACACATTTGGAGGTTGCCAGGTTGAATATTACTATCCTAGCCTATTCTTCTTAAGCAACAGTCTTAGGAGAGCTTTACCATATGATTATTTGGCCCAAAGTGAATTAATTAAGGCCAGTGGAAGCACATAGTTCTCCAACACCATCTTTTCAGGCCCCAACCAATATCACTGATCTACCTTTTGTGTAATCTACCTAACTTGCTCTCTAACTGGAAGAAAGAGCCTTGTCCAGCCTTTCACTCTCCTGATGTGCTAGACTTCAACTCTCATAATCCCGAGTGATTGCCCTATTGACATGCAATTTGAAGTCAAAAACGTATGGAGAGTAACAAGTAGGGCAAAGCTGCTGATGCAGCAGGGGACAATAGTTTTCTTGAAGACTATCTGTCTGCATCCATAGACCCAGGTGGAAATCACAATGGCAGAGCTTCTTGTAAAAAAGTTTGATTTTCTATGGCTTCTTCAGTCGTGTTTAATTAGGAAGCAACAGGAGAATGCACAAGGTTAACACTCAAGCTCCTTCTAATTTAAGGTCATACTGCCAAACAATACTTTGGGTGAATGCTGTGTTTCTGAAGGTCACAGAATCTGAAGACAAGTAGCAAGAAAGCAGCCAACTGAGAATAAGGGATAAGAGAGTTGGGAGGATTTTCCCTTGGTTTTTAGAGAATGCATTCTTAAGACACCCATAACATCTGATTTTCCAAAGCAAAAAGCAAAACACAGATCTCTTCATAATTAGCCTGCCACATGTGACATCAGAGGCATGTTAACAATTCTTGTGGTAGGCACAGGAAGGACCTACTCCATCTAAACCAAACAGGCTATTTTATACACATACATAAAAATAGTACAAGTATCTCAAGTTATAACTTGGATATGCTACATCCAGTACAGTTTTGAAAAAAAACTGCACAAATATGTTAAGAAAATCTGGAAAAAATGCAAATTCTGAACAGCAAAAATTAGGAATGAATAATGGAGAACTTCACAGCACAAAGTAATTCAAATTCTTCAGGCGCTCAAATGCCTTTACAAAGATTAAACTCCAATCATAACTACTCTACTTTATTCATACACACGCATGCATGCATGCATGCTCAGATTAAGGCAGGTTGAAAATAGTGGAATGATTCAGCCTGACCAAATTTCAGAATTCTCATATGTAACAAAATGAACATTTCTAAGTTATTCCAAGTTGATGCTTCTAAATTCATGTTCAAAGGATACTTTTTCCATAAACATTTACTAAAGAAATGAAACCAAAAAAGTAATGATATACATTATTACTACTTTTGTTTGTTTCATTTCAGTGAATTTGAGCTGGCTATGCAGATCCCTGCTGTGAATTTTTCAATGTATCTTCAGAACATGAGGATATATATCCTGAGAGCGATTGAAAGAAAAATGCCAAACTAACTTTAGTCTGAAAGCTTGGGGGAGAACAATAAACATGGTAATGTAGATAGGATAAGGCATAATATCTTAGCCAAGGCCTAGCATGAATTACATCCATTTAACTTTCTTCCTACTAGAAATAATGTATACTTCCCCTCCTAGGTTACTACATTTCTACACGGCCAGTCATAGGCCTGAGTCATTAGCCTCTATCCTAAAGCTCAGGGTAAGACATCCACCCTGTAGGCCTTGCTCTCTCTCAGTAGCTCTATGAGTGTCTAGATCCAGCAGCAGTTCACCTCCTGGGGTAAGATTATGTTTGTCATGCCCAGTGGAAACAACCAAGCCAAACATTTAAAGAGATTCTTTGTATCCTACAGAATGACAAAAATAAAATCCCTATATAGACCCAGCTCACAATATAGTAGCATCACAAAGCAACTTGGAGCAATTTTGAAATGTAACCCAGTCCTAAAGTAGAGGAGGCTGCCAATTTTTCCCAGACATTCCCCATTTTTCCTGTACTGTACTTAATGATCATTTAATCCCACTTAACATGCCTTTATTCCCTCTTGATGCAACACCATCTCACATTCCACCTTTCCACATTTCACTTGCCAAACACATTTCAAATCCTCAGATTTCTAGTTCCAGAAGAAATCTGGAGCTTCATATGGCCACTCTTCCCAAAGGAAAGCTGGACTTCAAATCCCATGTTCTTAATTGCAGAACGATCCACAGGGAAACCAGCCAACTGCTCGGTAGATACTACCTGCCTCTGAGTCTAGATTGCTACCCGAAGTTTTCTCAGAGGGAGTACAAACAGCACCGTCTCTCCTCTGCAAGACCAAGCCAAGGTCTCCCTTGCACTCATTCCAAGCTCCAATTACAGGAACTTCACAACAAGGCTCCGAGGTTTTGGGAGACAGCTCCCAGTCCTCCTTCAGAGAAACAGATACAGTATGCCAATCCTTAACGCTTCGTTCACTGTATGACACTCCTCGTTCTGTTTTCAAAGGCCAGTTCCAAGATTCAGTCCTGCTTTTATCACACGAATTATCCACTCTCCAAAGTACCTGATTCTCTCCCCGCCACCCCCGGATCACAACTCGACCGTCCAGGCGGCCCTGGCTTTTCAGTCACTCTCCCAATTCCCAAGTACAATTCCCCGTGGCAAAGTACTCCGCTCCTTCCCCTCACCTCTACCCCGCTCAGTTCTTCACGCACTAGTGACGCCTGACCCTAAGGCATCAACCACCCGCACGCCTCCAAGAGCGGACGGACGCCTTTCCACTCCAGAGAGCACCATCACCCTTCCATCAGGGCTGACCCGATGCACCGCCACTAGCTACCGTCCTCCCAGCCCCAGACCAGAAAGTCCATCAGGCTGCTCTTGGCACTGATCCCGCACCGACCCTCCAGCGCCCACTTTCCCTGGCGCCAGCCTCTTCCTTTCCCCGGGGACAGCCTGCTCTCCCGCGCGATGCGATCCTTGCAGGTTCCCGCTTCTCCTTTCTGCCTTGCCCTTACCTCTCCCTGGTCGTCCTCCTCCAGGCTGCTGAAACTCCACACCACCAGGCCCTGGATGAGCAGAATGGCCAGCGCCGTGGCGATCGCCAGCTTGTACCGGCGAACCAGCTTCTGCACTCGGACACTCGCCACCATCTTCATTCCAGGCGGCGGAGAAAGGGGAGGGCGTGGGAGGAGGGCGAGGAAGAGCGGAGGGAAGAGGGCGGCAGAGTTGAGAACCCTGCAGACCGCGGGCGCGAGCACGCACAGCGCGGACACCCGCACGCGGGGAGGGGGGAAGGGGAGGGGCCGGAGCTCGCAACCCGCTCGCTGCGAACAGTTGCGAGAAGGCGAGGGAGGGCTTTCGCTGTGCTTTATAAATCCCGGGATAGGGAAGGGGGTGGGGGGGAGGCACGGGCGAGGGCCTCTGCCTC